TAGTTTTGCACACTCCCTGAAGTAGTTTCACTTTAATTTACTTTTGAAAATGTTATGAATTAATGTCAATAACATTATTAAAATTAAAACATATTACATGACCTGCTGCTTCTCTATTTATAAGACTTGTTGCCCCGTTACAGAAATTATATCGCTTTATATTTTTGGCATGTTTGCTATTAGCTTTTTAAACTGTCTCTAACCTTTTATGAATAAATTCTTTTTTCATTTAGTCTAATATTTTTCCAGAATTGGTCTCTTTCTCATTTCTTGACTTTTTAAAGACGAGCACTGTGTTCACCCCTTCACACATTTCTCACACAACTTCTGAACATTTTCAGAGGAAGCTAACAGCTCTAAGCTTGCTTCACTCTGTTCTCAAGCTATCTTCATGTGCACTTCCTCAGGCCCAGATATCACTATGATTTCACCTAACTTTAGCTGCCTATAAAATAACCATCTTCGTCTGTGCAGGGGTGTAGGTTCCTATCACAGTCAAGGGAGACGTAGTACAGTCAACGACCAATAGAGACCTCTTCTGGAGACGTGCTGCAGAGGCATGCTTGAGGATGAGGTGAACTGCAGCATTTCCAAATTATTCTCAGACCTGTTTTTTCCCTATTTTAGATGGATTCTTTCTTACTCAGTTAGTTATTAGTCATGTAATTACAGATCACCCTTTTATGAAGAGTGATGGAAAATGTACTTCAGCCTTCTGCAAATGAGCTATCACTAGGTTTTTCTTTTCCTTACATATTTGTTTTCTTTCTATCCCTTATGTCCACAGTTTTTTGCAGTTAAATTTGTGCTGTATCCTTTCTGATTTTGTTTCAGCATCTTGTGCTATTCTTTCACACTTGTCCTTAGGAGTCTGACCTGGTTTCCACTTTCTGTACATTTCCTTCTTGTGCTTCAGGTCATTGAAGACCGTGTTGCTTAGCCAAGTTGATCTCTGACCATACTTCCTATCCTCCTACTGTGTGGGATTGTTTGTGCTTGTACCCTAAACATAATTTCTTTAAGGAACTGCCAACTCTACTGAATTCCTTCTGCTTTAGCCATGTTTCCCATGAGAACTTACCTTCCAGTTCCCAGGGTTTATTGGAGTCTTCTTGTATAGTCCACTGGGTTTGAATTGCTCTTTCCTCTTGTTCCTCATCAACAAATAATATACATGATCACATCACAGTTGCTCTCAACCAAATTACCTTTACCCTCATATGCCCAACCATCCTCCTTCTTGGTTGCTTAGCAGGCAGCCTCTTGGCAGGCTGCTGTTGAAGCACTTGGCAGGCTCTGACAGCTGCTGTAGACCATACGCAGGGAGTGGTTAAATGCTGCTCATTATACCCAGACAGACACAGCACACTGCTTTGTAATGTGCAACTGGAGATGCTCACCTAACCATTCACAGGGAAACACTTGCATCTTTTAGCTGGGCATTTAATCAAAAGAAAGCCAAACGCTACATATACAGAGTGTTTCAGATGCTTTCCTGGGAAAGCATCTATATGGATGCAAAAACACTACCCAGCCTTGAAGTCCAGGTAAGGAGAAGATGAAAACCTCTCCCATGTTTTCTTTGCAGACCTAGGCATAAAATTAAATTAATGTGTCTCTTTGGACTGATGTTTCTTTGTCTGAATCTTTATTTTCTATTTACCATCACCCAGAGGAATGGGAAATCTCCACTCAGGTTGTCTGATTGGTGAGTAAAATTGGATTCTTAGTAGCTTTTCAGGTTACCATGATTTTCACAGTGTAGTCAAATCTCCACAAAGAGAGATTTCTTTGTCACAGAGTTGTTTGGGTTTCGTTTTTGTTTTGTTTTTTTTTTTTTTCTTTTCATTTATATATTTAGAAATTACCATTGAATCTCTCAAGAAATAAACTGAGACATTGTTTATCTTTTGAAATCACACCATGATGAAGTGAATCTACAGAGGAATTTTTTGGCAGTCTATTTTTCATTGCTATATCTCTCCTCAGTTAAGAACAGGGGATTTTAACAACAGCTAAAAGTTGATGCTACAAGGATTCTGGTGCCTGAAATGAAGAGACAGAAGCTTTCATTCACTTTCTGGCTTTGCTAAGGGTAATATGCATCTTGACTCTTCTCATTTGCAGTTTGCAGCTGCATAGGATTTTGTCAAATTTCAAATGTTTAAGCAGAAATTTTCCATGCTAGATATCTGCCTCAGGATAATTTTTAAAAGCCTTTGAGCAAAAATAGTTTATAGCTTTTTATACAGGGTGTTTTGGAAACTGTGCTTTTTCTCATGTTAAATGTTTCTGGTGATCTTTCCTCTAAGAAGTTTAGGTACTTTGCAGGCTTTGGAAAAAGCATTTGAAAACTGAGGTTAAGGGGATTCTCAGTGTAACCTCTGCTGGACTTAGGCGGCACAGGGGAGTAAACCACCCATTTTAAATAACAAGGCAAGCATGAGCAAGACTTTTTGGGGGAAATTGTTTGGGATCACTAGCAAAACAGATTCAAAGAATAAAATCAGCAGGAAGAAACTGTGCCTTGATGAGCAGTGTGAAAATTGATGTGGGAGGGAAAGGAAAGGAAAATGTGTCAGTATAGTTTGGGAGATACTAAAATAGCTAGAGGAGCTGAAGTGCAGAGCCTGGGACTAGCTGAGTACAGAGCTGAGAGCGAGAAGCAGTGGGGCTGCGTGGGAGGCTTGGAAGAAGAAGAAGGAGAGACAGATCTGATGAGCTGGGCTCAGAAGTGTGGTTGGTGTGGGGGGCTGTGAGGCTGACTGAGGAGACTAAGGGAGGAGTCTGGCAGTGGGAGCCAGAAAAGAGCTGGCTTGTGCATGGGGAAAACTGAACAGCAGAACGGGTGAGATCTGATGGGCATTTGGGAAGCTGGAAAACAGGATTTGCTGGGCAAGCTGACTGGGAACGATACAAGGATGGCTTGGAGGTGAGGTGAGGATTTCCTGGAGACCGGGTTAAAATCTTGCCTGAGGAGTGAAAACAGGGACTGGGGAAGAAGGAGTCACACCTGGGGTGGGGGCCGAGGGAAAAACACTGGTGCCCATGCAAATACCTGTCCAGCAGGAGGGGAATTCAGTGTTGGAGAGCTGCTGGGGATGGGGTGCAAGGAGGTAGAATTGGGGGTAGTGGGAGCGGAAGACTCTGTGCAGGCCATGCTGATGGTGGGAGCAGGGGAAGCACAGACAGGGACCTGTGCTAGGGACCTCCAGTGCCAGGAATGGCATCCTGCATGCCTGAGTCTCGCCATTTTGTTGCTGTCAGCAGGTAAGTCGGATGAGCTTGGGTCTCGGCATTGTTGATGCTGGGTTTGTTCAGAAGATAATCCACTGCCACTATGGGTTATTCCATTAGAGTATCATAAGATCGGTAGAGCTAAATGATTCACCACTGACAATGATTTTTGTGCATGTTGTTATAATGCCACATGAATACATTTTTTTAGTAGTTTTTCGACACTTGGTTTTTAAAGAAACAAGATATTCCACACAACTTGACACACTCAGTTCACAGGATGGACATGCTCTTGAGATGCTCTAGGGCTGTGCAGTTGGATCCCCACTATCTACAGATGAGGGAAGGTGTGCAGTGAATCAGGCAAGAGGTTTTATGATGAGAGTTTGGGTTCTTTGTCTGCCAAAATACTGGTGTGGGGTGCCCATGTTTTCAGAGACTCTCACTGACTGTCCATTCTCCTTTTTCTGGGTACTTGAGCAGGCTCTGGAAAACAGATTTGCAGATTTTTGAGTATTCATTTCTGTAACTGAATCAGGAAGACTATTTCAAACTTAGAGTGTACTGTAATGTTAAATAATCTGAAATGTCAGCTCTTTAGTTTCAATAGTGTGCTGCCAAAAGCCAGCAGATACTTCATCTTATACTCTCTATGACTTAGCTCATGCACCACTTTAACCCTACTGTCTCCTAACTTCTTAATATTTGATACTGCATATGCCACAGTATGATGTAAAAATATGTTTCATAAAAACAGACTTTAAACATAACATTTCTGCTGAACAGCTTGTCCTGCAATACAGAGGAGACCAGAAAGGAAGGGAAAAATAGGCCTAGATTCATGTAGGAAGAGAGAAGAATGCATACACACAATTTGTCAGTAAGTGTCAAGATGTGAAAAAGTTATTTCTGTAAAAGAGCAGGCACCAAAACACTGGTGTAAGGACTTGTACGTGATTCCTGTACTGGAATCATTGGAGGAGTATAAAAAAGAAAGAGTTGGGAGGAATGAGAGTAGAGGTATGGTTTTGGAAAAAACGCTGTTGGGTTCTGAAAATGAGGGTCAAAATCTGGACTAGAATGATAGAAGAAGCTGGAGGAGATGGGAACAAAAAGGAAAATAATTTAAGAGGACACATTTTGTATGCACTGGAGTGTAAAATGAGAAAGAGAGATCATGGCTGTCATCAGTCATGGCAGAGGGGTACTAGTGGAGGGAATACAAGAAGGATATAGCAACATAAACAGCAGCCAGGAGGTTGCCTGGGGACTGTGTGCTAAGCAACCGGGACTGTGTGCTAAGCAAGTAGGACTGTTACAGACAGTTCTGGCTATGCTATTTGTTGTGCAATGGCAGGAATGAATGAATCAAGTTTACACAAGGAGGGGACAGAGAGGATCTAGGGTTGAGACAAGGTGAGTAGACCTGAATGGCAAAGACAACATTGCTATTACCAACAGTAACTGAGAAGAGAAATATGGGAGAGAACTGTAAGACACACAAAAAGCCAGAGACTTAGTTATCAATATAATGAGAAAAGCAGAGGGATTTTGTGAGGCCCTATCTCCCAAGAAACAAGCCTGGGAGGAAGTAATTCATTGCCACCATGGTAGGCAGGCATCATGTTCTAAGCTTTTCTTCTACACTCCCTTTTCTCCCTTTCTTCCTCCTTTCCAAGTTTCTTAGGCTCATCTAGATTCCCTGAAAGAAAGTGGTGAAGGTTGCTCTCCCATGATTGATTTTGCAGTGGTTTAAATGGCAGTTGATACATGCATGGGACTTTGAATTAAGCATTTAGATAAGACGACCCTACAGCTCATTACCAAGTAACCACACATAGAATCATACAATGGTTTGTGTTGGAAGGGACTGTAAAGGCCGTCTAGTCCAACTCCTCTACAATGAGCAGGGACGTCTTCAACTAGATCAGGTTGCTCAGAGCCCCGTCCAACCTGACCTTGAATGTTTCCAGGCATGGGGCATCTACCACCTCTCTGAGCAAACTGTTCCAGTGTTTCACCACCCTCATTGTAAAAAATTTCTTCCTTATATCTAGTCTAAATCTACCCTCTTTTAGTTTAAAACCATTACCCCTTGTCCTATCATAACAGTCCCTACTAAAAAGTTTGTCCCCATCTTTCTTATAAGCACCCTTTAAGTGCTGAAAGGCCGCAATAATGTCTCCCTGCAGCCTTCTCTTCTCCAGGCTGAACAACCCCAACTCTCTCAGCCTGGCCTCGTAGGAGAGGTGCTCCAGCCCTCTGCTCATTTTTCTGGCCCTCCTCTGGACCCGCTCCAACAGTTCCATGTCCTTCTTGTGCTGAGGGCTCCAGACCTGGGCGCAGTACCCCAGGTGGGGTCTCACCAGAGCAGAGTAGAGGGGCAGAATCACCTCCCTCGACCTGCTGGCCATGCTTCTTTTGATGCTGCCCAGGACACAGTTGGCCTTCTGGGCTGCAAGCGCACATTGTTGGCTCATGTCCAGCTTTTCATCCACTGGGTGGCGAAGCAGAGGGGGTGGACTTCCTTCTCATACCTGTCAGGCTCTGAGAGCACTAACAGGGCCCTGACTGCCCCTGCCCAGCCCCCTGGGTCTTCCCCCACGCTGCCTAATGCTCAGGACCCCCTGTCAGCTTCCTGGCGCCATCAGTTGATTCCGCGGCAGGGCTGGTGTCCAGCTCCCCACGGCCCATCTGAGCTGGGCCCACCTACAAGCCGATGTCACCGTGGCTCTACCTGATGATCTGGCCTCTTGGCTGAACCTGGCCACCATCTCTAGGTCTTCACCCTTCAGGGGTGGTGATGGATTCAGCCTGGTGAGGCCCCTGCCACACTGGCCATGTGGTTATTGCACTTGGCTCCCAGCTCCCTATCCCAAAGGGAAGAGCTGTCCCTCACTATTCCCTGACAATATTGATGGGAAGTGGCCATACTTACAAAATCAAAAGCCCATGGCCTTTCTGTCTACAACTACAGGAAGGAAAACAGACAAGTTTTATTGCATAGTAAGGGTTGGTTTCAGTGCATGAGTGACTGCAGTGCATTTAATTTCATTCTCCTTTAAACGTTTGTGGTAATTTATTGGATAGTTTTGCATATTCCTTTCTATACTCATTTTCTGGAATTTGTTCTCCTCCATCTTTACTTCACTGAATTATACTTTGCATCTTTTCCACTCCTATTCTCAACCTCCCTTTCCCACAGCATCGTTTGAGCAGGCTACACAGCCTTTCTATTTCCCATAGCCCTGGCCCCACCACTTTTACTCAGGTTGCCACTCCCTGCCTCACTGGGAGTTTTCCTGTCAGACTGTGCTGCCTTTTCCCATGTACTCTTCTTTCCTCTCACTTTGGTTCTTTTCATCCCCAAATTGGCTCTTCCTTTCACTTGTTCTTTTGTGAGTTACTGGTTAGTAATAGTTTTAGCACACTGGCAGCCTATGGTGTTGGCATCCATGAAAAGGAGGATTTTAAGGAGTGATTTTTAGATGAAAAATGCAATAGCTCTGTAGGTACTTCAGAAACTTCTTCCAAAAATGGGGACAGCAGAGGAGATAGCAGAAACTTTTTGTTTGTTAGCAGGGGCTAGCAATATGACTGTTCAGAAAGTAAAGTTGAGCTTTTAATACTGCATGAGAAATGACAGGTAAAGAAAAACCTTGGAAGGCAAGACAGGGAGATGACATGGGATGAAATAGACAAGGAGAAGCTAAAAGACAGGCATAAGAAGGTGGTGTAAAGAGCATAACAAGTAGTTTAATGCTGGCGATGAGGAAGGTAGCGCTGCAGTTGCTGAGACCAGAAAGAAATCTGATGCACTAATGGAGGGTTGAGATAACCACTGCAGGGAACAAGAGTTTTAGCTTGTGCTTGCATTGGCAATTGTGACTTTGTACTTGCCTCACTGCTGTGAAGCGTGCTATTCTGCAGGACACCCTTGTCAGTCTCTTCCTCAGTAGCCCCCTAGCTCATATGTTGTCTCCCTACTGAGCTTGTACTCGTTCTTGCATAACACCTTTCAGCCCTTGCTGCTGCAAGTGAGATGATGTCAGACCCTGGCTCTTGTTGGCAAAATGACCCAGATCAGATGGTTCTTCTAGCCCTTGGCTGTCTGCAGCCTACTGGAGATTCCTAATCCACTAATGATTTTCCACTTAATGGAGCAGGCCAGCCTGCCTGCTGAGACTCCAGTTTCTGGGGTCTCTCTCCCTCCTGTCTATCCATAGCAAGTTGTACAGGAACAAGGGGGCTGCAGGTTTGGGTTAGCAAGGGCCTTGCTTCTAAAGGAGCAATTCACACTGTTAGAACAGCACACTCAGAACTGTGTCCAGCAAAGCTTCTTTTTGCTGTTTGTTTTTCATTCTGGCTGTTCCTGTGGGGTTTCTACACGTCATTCCCTCCTCACCTTCTATGTACCCATGTAGATATCAGTATGTATGTATTTGCAGTTGTCTTTTTGAAGGGATTAACAGGGCTTAAGTATAGAATGGGGCTCAGCCACTGAGAATGTTATCTGTTTCCAGAGATTTTTCCCTACCTTAGAGTGAGCTGCCCTCCTGGTACCTTTTTTTACTTCTGGCTTCAAAAGTATCAGGAACACAAATAAGTATTGTTGTAATTTCATTCTTCTAGTTGGGAAAGTTCCACTTATTGTCACGTAGCGTGCAGAGGATCACCCCGTATGCTCAGCTGTGACCAAGGTCTGTCTTTGCAAAAAAATTAGCTTCAGACACACCTTTGTAAGTTTATCACCAGGAGGCTTGAAATCCTTATCAACCTACGTAGTTTATGTGGAGCAAATAATATGCTAGTGTAACTGATATTAATGTGTTTCTGAACTACACATGAATATAGTTCAGAAATATATATACATATATATAGACACACATGAGTGTGTGTACATATATTTCTGTACTTGGGTAATAGGTGACATATATGAAGACTTAACATTATTCAACATTTCCAGTCATAGGACTTCTAATTGTTGATAAAAGTATCAAAATACTGGGTTTTTTAGACTGAGTTTTTTAATACTTCTTTAAAAACTGCAGATTTTTCAGTTGCAATGGTTC